TAGTGTGTTTAGTGATGCACAAGTGCTTATTTACAGTGGTGAACTGCATTATGGGATGTTGATCTCTGCTCTGTCCACTTCTGATGTTGAAAGTTTAACTCTACAGTTTAACAAAGTGACCTTTAGTGACATCTTAGTAAAAATATAATGTGTAGGAAGCATTATATATATAAAATACTTCTGTAAAATAATAGAAAATGTGCTGCAGTTTATTACAAGGTGTTTATAGTGTAATATACAACACCAACCCAGACAATAGATCAATTTAAACTACTAAAATGACAATAAAAGTCACTTTTTCACACTTTTCAGGGTTAAAAGTTGCTGGAAGAAAGATTAAGATCCCATAATGCAACTCAAACGCAGAAATAAATGGGGTAAAATGAAATGATGAATCACAAAATACAGAAAACTGCTGATTTACGGATGTTTTTCACAGTGATTAACATTTCTGACACTCAGTATTTGTTTTGTTTAGGCAGCACATGATGGCTGGACACAGTTTGAAGAATTATTGATTATTAATTCTTATTTAGTGCTTTAGCAAAATGGGGTTTTCAGTGGCTAACACTGATACTGATCATTTAAAGGGGCAGTTCACCGAAAAATGTCAAATAAAACTCATTCTCAAGCGGTTCTAAAGCTTTATGAGTTTCATTCTTTTTAAACACAAAAGCAGAAGCTTTGAAGCTTACTCTAAAAACAACACTGGGTTATTTTAACCTAAATTTGGGTCAAATATGTGACTCTGTATTCTCAGAAATAAAGGTATGCAAGCTGTGACTGGGCTGGTGCCTTTTCAAAAGGTACAAGTTTGTACCTACAATGTCCGTTTTAATACCTCAATACCTAAAAAGTACAAAAGCATTCCTCTTAAAATGTATTAGGTATTAATATATACTTTTGAGGTACCAATATGAATCTTTTAAGTACAAATGTGTACCTTTTGAAAAGGTACCACCCCAGTGACAGCTCCTTTGTTTCTGAGAGTACAGAGTCATTCATTCATTCATTTTTCTTAGGCTAAGTCCCCTTATTTATCAAGGGTTGCCACAGTGGAATGAACCGCCAACTTATCCAGCACATGCAGATGCCCTTCCAGCTGCAAACCAGTACTGGGAAACATTCACACACACACACACACACACACTCATACACTACAGCCAATTTAGTGCATCAATTCCCCAATAGCGCATGTTGTTGGACTGTGGGGGAAACCGGAGCAACGGGAGAAAACCCACACCAACACAGGAGAACATGCAAACTCCACACAAGAAACGCCAACTGACCCAGCCGGGACTTGAACCAGCAACCTATATGCTGTGAAGCCACAGTGCTAACCACTGAGCCCCAATGTAAAATGTTATAAAACTAAAATAATTACTCAAAGCTTTGTGAGTTTCCTTCTTTGTAAACACAAAAGCAGATGCTTTGAAGCTTACTCTAACAACAACACTGGGTTATTTTAACCTAAATTTGGGTCAAATGTGTGACCTTGGAGTTAATGGATATGTTTCCCGTCATTCTTTTTTTTTTCTTCGGCGTTTATTCATCAAAGATTGCCACAGCGGAATGAACCGTCAACTATTCCAGCATATGTTTTACACAGCGGATGCCTTTCCAGCTGCAACCCATTACTGGAAAACACCCAAACACACTCATCCACACACACACACACACACACTACGGCCAATTTAGATGATCAGTTCCCCTATAGTGCATGTGTTTGGACTGTGGGGGAAACCGGAGCACCCGGAACATGCAAACACCACACAGAAATGCCAACTGACCCAGCTGAACTCTAAGAAATGCTGTGCTGTTTAAAACCAAGTTGGATAAAATAAGGACAAACCCAAACATTGGACTATATTTGGCCCCTTTTAATTTAATAATAAACAATAACCGAGCAGTTGGGTTATTTCCTATTACACCCATAATTAAGTTAAAATAATCTGCCATTTTTACAGCGTGGGACTTAAACAAGCAACCTTCTTGCTGTGAGGTCACAGTGTTAACCACTGAGCCACTGTGTTGCCCCAGTATAAAATGTTATAAAACTGAAACAATTACTCAATTTTAAACACAAATGAAGATGTTTTGAAGGTTGCTCTAAAAAATATACCACTCTAAAAAATAACTCAAGAGGTCTGTTACCACTACATAGTTTAATACATTATTGTAACTTAAAAATTCTAAATTGCTGATTAGATTAAAACTTTTACGCTGCCAGAACAATTTTATTAAGTTTTCAAAACAGGAAAATGTTTATTATTACATCAATTTAAAAATGTGGCTAAATTAAAGGTAAATATATCTGTCAGTTACTTTAAAACAATATTAAACTTGTAGCAACCCAAAAAAAATGGGTTGATAACTCAATTTTTCCACACTAATGGAGTTGTTTTGTTTTTTAAGTCCACACACTGATGTTTTTTTTTTTATACTGATAATATGGGACAGTACATGTTTTTGTAAAACAATAAAAACCTATGGTTTAATACAAATAAAAAATGACCGGAAAACAAAAATGTTGTTGTTAAATGTATTTCTTACAAGCATGAACAGCACATTTTAAAACAAACAAAAAATTAAACAATTTCGAATACTTAATTAATTTGAGGTTCTGAACTTGTACATACTGGATTTGTTTTCAATTTTGATTTAAAAAACTAATTGAAATAACTTATTTTTTTTGAGTACTCAACTTAAAAACTTGAGGTTTTTGCTATGTAAAAATGCATCTGATTGAAGAGGAAAAGATTTGGCTAACATAATAAAGTTTGTTGTCTGAACTTCATTTTATTAGATGTTGTCGTAACTTAAATATATAATAAAGCAAACTGTTGCAATATATTTTTTTTTTGTTTTATATAGCAATATTTTTAGAGTGTGGGTTATTTTAAATTTGGGTCAAATATGTGACCCCGGAGTCTATCTTCCGCCACTAAATAAAAAACAAACATTTATTTTGACTTTTCTTCTCAGAATTGTGATGTAAACTTGAAATGACGAGTTATTAAGTCACAATTGCGAGATATAAATTCACAATTGTGATATAAAGTCGTAATTTTGCGATTAAAAAGTCAAAATAACCTTTTTAGAGGCGTTTTTTTAGGGATTTTATAGGAGTCTAATGTTGTATGACTATTATTGGTAAAAATACATTATGTAAGTCAACATTATAGATTTGTTTAATGCCTAAAATCATCAGGATATAAGATCATCACTGACAAAAAGTGTTGCATGCAGAGCTGTTGCAAACAATTTATTTGTGTTGAATTTAAACAAACAAATTAAGTTTAATAATGTTCAACTTAATTTGTTTGTCTAAATTCAGCCCAAATAAATTGCTTACAACCACTTAACATAAAAAATTGAGTAAATCCAAGGAATCATCTTTGCATATTTTTTTCACTGTATCTCATGAAGATATTTAGTAAATTTAAGACTGTAAATACATATTAAAAAAACTATTTTCATTAGTAATATGCATTACTAAGAACTTAATTTTAATAACTTTAAACATTTTTTTCGATATTTAAATTATTAAATTTAATTTATAAAAACATTCTCCAATCCTAACAAACACTGAAAAAAATAATTCGAAGATGATTCCTTGGATTTACTAATATGTTTAAAGTTAAGTGGATGTAAACAATTTATTTGGGCTGAATTTAAACAAACAAACTAAGTTGAAAATGACCTAATTTTATTTGTTTGTTTAAAGTCAACACAAATAAATTGTTTGCAACAATTTTGCAGACACCATTTTTTTTGCTTTAGTGTACATCAATGAAAAACTTATTAATTCAGCTAGTTTTTCAGATAATGCACGGCTCTTAATTTCCAAAAATAGACACATTACTGCTATTGTGGTCCAGAGTCACATATTGACAAAACATACAGCTGGGTTAATCTTTCAGTGTATTTTATAGTCCAAATTGTATCAAAATTTGACACAAATTTGGGTTTAAATAATGTTACATATTATAATAATGTATAATTATATTTAAGCATAAAACCGATGAACTTCCAGGGTAGGAAAAACAAATACTATGGATGTCAATGGTTACCGGTTTTCAACACATTTCAAAGCATCTTCTTTTGTGTTTAACAGATGAAAGAAAACATGAATGATGAGTAAATGACAGACTTTTGATTTTTGGGTGAACTGTCTCTTTCGAAGTGTCCTTGTAAACAGATTATCTTGTAGATTTTAAATAAACAGTATTATTAAATTGGATAATCTCCGACATCAACTGATGTAGTATCACTTCACACATGCATGAGGAAGTCTCCAAACATTCCTATGGTGCATTTATGGTTATGATACCGACACAGACATTATGAAGTATTTGAGAAGTGCATTGCAAACACGGTCCATCGTGTTCTAGCTGTATGTTTAGAGGTACTTCTGTGCAAAAGAGCCATAAGAGAGAACACAAACTCTTCAGAAACATCATTACAGACTCGAGGAACATTTCTTTGAGAAGTGCAGGACTGAAAGAAACGAGGAAAAAAAGGCACTTTACATCTGCAACCAGCCTGGAAGACCAGCGAATGGGCCGAATTAAGCAGATCTCCAACCAGCAGAGCTCACTGATTATCTTTAAGATCCAGTCGCGTCATTCAGCACAATCTCTGCTTTAATTTAAAGCTCAAAGCGTCCCGTGTGCTGTAAGTGCTGGGTGCAGCATTCACACACACCATCATCATCATCATCATCATCATCGTTACAGTGATTAATAACATCATCAGCATCTGCTTCATTTGCATGTAAAAGTTTGAATATTCGCCCGTGGAAAAAACACTGAAGTTGAATTAAAAATTAGAAAGACGCATTTTTACATACAGATCCCAACCCAGAATATTCCAAGAGGAAGGCATAAATAATCTCCAAAAAAGCAGTCCTTTGATTAAAAAAGCACATCCAAGAGAGAGTTTTAAATACAAAAAGTAAGTACAAAAAAAGCACAGTGTTTCTGTACAACACAATCGATCACTCAGGTGAAGTGGTGAGCAGTAATAATAATGAAAGCAGAGCTTCACACTGTGGTTTCTCCCTGTTTGCTGTTCGCCAGTCTCGTGTAAAACTTCCTCCAGGAATTGAGCGTCTTTCCAGACCATATCCAGAAGCCGGAGGTGATGCCCACGATCAGGGTCATCAGGTACTTGATCATGAACACCGTGAAGTCCGGGTTCATCTGCGGGTTGTGCGCGGGACACGGCACCGCGTATGTCTTGCACGAGTGCGCGCTCCACGTCTGCTCCCAGTGCGCGCGGAAGGCCTGCTCGTAGAAGTAACAGGCGATCACGATGGTGGCCGGAACCGTGTAGAGCACGCTGAAGATCCCGATCCGCACCATCAGCTTCTCCAGCTTCTCCGTTTTAGTGCCGTCGTGCTTCATGATGGTCCTGATGCGGAACAACGACACGAATCCCGCCAGGAGGAACGAGGTGCCGATGAACAGGTACACGAAGAGCGGCGCGAGCACGAATCCGCGCAGCGCGTCCACGCTGTTGATGCCCACAAAGCACACCCCGCTGAGCACGTCCCCGTCCACCTGACCCACAGCCAGGATGGTGATGGTTTTGATGGCGGGCACTGCCCAGGCCGCGAGGTGGAAGTACTGCGAGTTGGCCTCGATGGCCTCGTGACCCCATTTCATCCCGGCCGCCAGGAACCAGGTGAGCGCCAGGATCACCCACCAGATGGAGCTGGACATGCTGAAGAAGTACAGCATCATGAACAATATGGTGCAGCCTTCCTTCTTGGTGCCCTGAACCACAGTCCTGAACTCGTTCTCGAACTGCTCGTTGCAGACAACCTTGTCCTCCAGGAGAAATCCGGCGATGTAGGCGATGGACACCATGGTGTAGCAGCCGGACAGGAATATGATGGGTCTCTCCGGGTAGCTGAAGCGCTTCATGTCCACCAGATAAGTCAGAACTGTGAATAAAGTTGAAGCGCAGCATAGGACGGACCAGATCCCGATCCAGATGCGCGCAAACTTCTGCTCGTCCTCGCTGAAGTACATCATGCCGTGCAGTTTTCTGGGCTCGCAGGGCGCTCCGCAGTTGTCCTCTCCCATGAAGCGGTAGTTGAGGTACGGGGGGACTCTGAGCGACGGCGGGCACTGGAAGCGGCCGCGCTGGGAGGGCTCCGGAGGCGCCTGCGTCGCGTCGGGAGTCGGGCTGACTGGGGGGCTCGGCCCGGTGGTGTTCTGTCCCACGCAGAGCTCTCCGCCGTGCACCGGGAAGGACTCGCACGCCAGGCTCTCCGGCCACTGGAAGCCGAATTTATTCATCAGCGCCTCGCAGCCCTGACGCGCGCGCTCGCAGAGGGACCGGCACGGCGGCAGCGCCTGCTCCAGCACCGTGCACACCGGCGCGTACATGGAGCACAGGAAGAACTTGAGGTCCGGCGAGCACTGCACTTTCACCAGCGGGTAAAACTGGTGCACTTCCAGTCCCGCGTCCTCCTGGTTGGTGTGGCCGAGCAGGTTGGGCATGATGGTCTCGTTGTAGGCGATGTCCGTGCACAGAGGGATGGAGATGGGCTGGCAGAAGCCATGCTCGGGCACCGACATTCCGCGGTCTCCGTACTGCGCGCGGGCGCTCAGAGCTCCGAGGGCGATCAGGAAGAGCGCGCGCGCGGCCATACTTTCGGTGTGCGGTGAGAAAGAGTCTCCAGTCGGCCAGCGCGGCCGCCAGCGCAGCTTTCCCCACTCTGATGTTTGTATCTCTCTGTTTGTGTATGTGTGTATGCGTGTGTGTTTGACTCCGAGTAAAGTTGTGTGAAGTGCTGCTGGAGCTCCGTGGGTCGCTCTGGACCGGAGCGCGGAGTGTCGCGGTGTGTGTCGGAGTTTGGAGCTGTTCAGACCCGCTCAGGCGCCCTGCTGTCTGCGGCTCATCAGCGTCGGGCGCGGGCGGGGCGGCGGACAGACGGAGTGCGGAGGGAGCGTCGCGATTTCGTTCCCTTTGCGTTTTTCTTAGTGAGCGAATCGGGAGGTGCAATTTTTTTAGTAACATTATTTTGTGTTAGGCTTCAGATAATGTAATGCATGCATTTATTTAAATACATCCAACCCATCCAATAATTTTCCTTTGGCTTAGTCCCTTATTTATCAGGGGTCGCCACAGCGGAATGAACCGCCAACTAATGCAGCATATGTTTTACGCAGCCAATGCCCTTCCAGCCGCAACTTAGGGAAATATTCTTATTGGTTAGCACCTAATAGCAAGAAGGTTGCTGGTTCGAGTCCAAGCTGGATTAGTTGGTGTTTCTGAGTGGAGTTTGCATGTTCTCTCCGTGTTGGCATGGGTTTCCTCCGCGTGCTCCAGTTTCTCCCACAGTTCAAACACATGTAATGTAATGCCGTAATGTATAAGTGTGTGTGAGAGAGAGAGAGAGAGAGAGAGAATGAGTGTGTATGGGTGTTTCCCGGTATTGGGTTGCAGCTGGAAGGGCACCACTGTGTGAAACATATGCTGGAATAGTTGGCGGTTTATTCTGCTGTGGCGACTATTGATAAATAAAGGGACTAAGCCGAAGAAAAATGAATAAATTAATAATTATATTCAAACATGCATGCAAATAGTAAAATTACCAATTATAAGAATACAAATATTATAAATTATAGTAATATACATTATTATTTGCATGCATATTTTCATATGACAATAATATTAATAACAACAATAACAATAATAATTGCATTAAAATATAATATTAATAATAATAAATCTACTAAACTACAATTTAATCCAAATATGCATGCAAATAGCAATAATAACACTAATATTGTTAATAATAATAATAATAATGATAATAACAGGATTTCTGAAGCACTGTTCATCTGTAAGCATGCACTAACGTACAGCACAGTGAAATTGCGACGGCCCCTAAATCTGCTGCTTTACTATTGGCTGCTGTGTGTGTCTGTAGGAGAAACCAGAGGAACATGATTTGCTCTGACAGGAGAATGTAAAGACAGCCTTCACTAAGAGTTTGCAGACGCCTGGAATACAAAACACCTCCAGTTCAAAACACTGCGCGCTACAGCTCGAATACACTGCACACACTCACCATGGACATTTACTATTATAATGAAAACAATAACAAAAATAGGAATAATAATAACATTAATACCAGCATGAACAGTAAAATAATAATAAATAGCAATAAAAAATAACAATAACATAATAATTACATTTATATGAACAGTAAAAATAATTTAATAGTAATGAAATAATAAAAATAATAACAGCAAAACAAGAACAACAACCTCAATAATAATTTAACAAAAAATATGAATATGAATAGTAAAAAAAAATAGTAATAAGTATGAAAAACAATAATAATAGTAATAAAATAATAATAATATTAATAATAGTAGTAATATTGTCATAAAATAATAATAATAATATCAATTATAATAGTAGTAGTAATTGTCAAATTAATAATAGTAGTAGTAGTAAAATAATACTTTTTTAATTAGAATATAAAAAAGGGATAATAATGTAATAAAATACTACTACTACTAATAATAATAATATCAACAACAACACAAATTCAACAATAATATAAATATGACTAGTAAAAAAGTAATAAATAATAACAACAATAATATTATTATAAACAGTAAAATAATAATAATAAAAATAGTACTAAAATAATAACAACAACAATATTAATTTAAATAATAAAAATAATAGTAATAAAACAACAATAATAACAATTATAATAAATAATCAATAATAGTAATAATTAATAATAATAATACAAATAGTAATAAAATAATTATAATATTAATATGAACAGTAAAAATGATAAAAATAGCAATAAAAACAATAATAATAACAACAACAACAAGTACAATAATATAATAATATTAGAATTAGTAAAAATAATAAGTAATAGTATAAAATAATAACAATAATAACAGCAACAATAATAGTAATAAAAATAATAGTAGCAATAAAATAATAAAAAATAACAACTGTAGTAATAATTTAATATAATATTAATTTGAATAGTAAAAAACTAATAAATAACAACAACAACAACAATAAAAATAATAATACTAACAAAAATAAAATAATAACAATAATAATAGTAATAAAATAAAAATTGTAAAATAACAATACATGAATAATAATATGAACAGTAAAATTAATAATAAAAATAGTAATAAAATAATAACAATAATAATAGCATAATATTGATATGAATAGTGTAAGTAATATTAATAAAATAGTAATAAAATAATAACAACAACAATAAACAATAATAATATAAAACATTAATAATAATAATAATGTTAATATAAATAGTAATATAAATAGTAAAAAAATAATAATAAAATAGTAATAACAATAATAATAACAACAATAATAGTAGTATATTATTATTAATATGAATAGTAAAAATAGCAATAATAAAATAGTCATAATAATAATAACAACAACAATAGTAATAAATATAATCATGGTTATAAAATAATAATAATAACAACATCATGAATATTAATAACAACAACAACAATAATTATAGCAATAATAATTGTAGTTTTTATTTTGTGAATAAAATCTTAATATTAATAAATAATTTTTAATACAATTTTAAATAAAATAAAATGTATTTATTTATTTTTACTATTTTGTAAGCATTTTAAAAATGTTGTTATCTTCCTAGAAGTGAATTATTCCTTCTGTTTATAAGGAGCTGTAAAAGAGGAGCTGAATGTTATAATGACAGTATTAATAACAACAGTCCAAAACGGTCCACATTACTCACATAACACACACTTCCTCTGAACTCATCACTTTAAAAGAAACAACAGCAGCGTTTGGTTTGAAGCATTAATAAACTTTATTTATATCAGGTAAAACAATGAGAAACAACATTTACAGAAGGACATTACATCTTCCATAATAACATTACATACAGCTTCTAACAAATGATGCAATACTAATCTACGTTTCCTCGTGTAATAAAGTGACCGCGTATATGTCTCGGCTCCAGAACTGCTTGTCAGAACAAACAAAAAAATCCTTATTTCAGTGCATATTACAAAAAAAACCAACAGATATAGAGGCGAGTGAAGCAAAAACACAGACTGAGTGTTGAGCGGATGCAGATCCACGCCTGTATACTGTATATATATATATTTATATTTACGTGTATGAATCAGTCAAGAAGGCATTCGCACAGCCCTCGTCATATATAGATTTATATGTACAGCCTAGTATATAACAAAGATTACAAAAAGATGATTAAATATTCACAGATCCAGAGACTAATATGATTGACAGCACATTCCATAGCATGTCCAACCCTTTCATTTACATATTTATACTGGGATTTAATAACCAGCTTTGAAGCGGGCGCCAATGTCTTCGTTTTGTTTTCTTCGTGAGTCACGTCTTCGTCACAGTGCTAAAATAATCATTTATTATTAGTTAGTCTCCTATTATTACTAAGTCTCATCTTTAATCTATTCTTAAAGGGACGGTACACCCAAAATATGTATTAGTCGCCCTGTATCTGTTTACAAATGCAGGCTCTCACACAATTTCACCACATGTGGTCCAAATACAAATCAATTAAGTTACTTTAAGGGAACCTGTTAGAAAGCTCTTTAAAAATAGGTCTCTGATGTCTCCAGAGAGAGAGTGTGTGTGTGTGTGTGAGTGTGTGTGTGTGTGTGTGTGTGTGTGTGTGTGTGTGTGTGTGTGATTTCAGCTCAAAAAGTGAAAAGACATTAAAAAAGCAATTTTTTGCTCAACATGAAATAAGATATTTTGAAGAATGTAAATGCTGTCTTTCAACCCATCCTTGATTTAAAACATGTGCACTAAAAACAAGACAAAAACATGTTTGCAGTGCAACATTCTTCAAAATATCTTCTTTTGTGTTCAATTAAAAAAAAAGAAACTCATAAAGCTTTAAACCACCTAAATTTGTCATTTTAGTGTGTACTGTCCCTTTAAAGAAGCGTTAAAATACAGCAAGTGTTCTCATCTGTCATGTGTACAGATATTTAAAGCACATGGCAGGAAAACTTCCAGCACTGTACTGTCCTAACATTCATTATTTAAATCTAATTGAGTTCAATTCTCACATAGTAATGCGACAGAAGACTAAACATTTAGCTTTACATGATAAAAATTAATAAAACTGTTTTTTTGACTGTATTTTTGATCAGGTAAATGATGCTTTGGTGGGCAGAAGAGATTTGTTTTTCAGAAAAAAATGGCATCTTATTTATTCGGCAAGTGCATATTGAGTACAAACATCCCTTTGCATGACTTGTTTTGCCTTCAGTTCTCAAAGGGACAGTTCAACACAAAATTAAAATACTCAAGTGCTTCTAACTTGAATGTATTTCCCTCCAACATTCTTCAAAACATCTTTTATAATATCAACAACAAAGAAAAAAGAAACTCAAACAGGTTTGAAACAAATGTCGGATGAGGAAATGATCACCGATTTCATTTTTAGGTGCACTGTCCCTTTAAAAGCACACATCCGTCTATGTTTCTGGTTTGAGAAATCTTCATAAACACATGCAACGTGTCTCAATGTGTGTGTTTGTGGCCTGGCTGAATTTTACAGGTGCAAAAACGTGAGCTCAGAAGCTGGAATGTTTGCGCAAACATGTTGAAAAGTGCATTGAAGACTCCTTTGCTCTTTAACTGCGAGTCAAACTATGATGACTAAAGCTGAATCAAGAAGTACAGATATTAATCACGTAATAAACAGGATCGTGTCTGGATTTGTACTGTGTATTAGCTGCGAAGGCATGGTGTGTGTGTGTGTGTCAGTGGACATGCACGTCTGTACACATTCCATTCACGCTTATTAAATAATCGCTTCCTAAACACGCCGATGACGTGTTGCTGTACAATTCTGCATTATTTTCTGTGTTAACAGTGCAGGGCCAAACATTGCTATTGTTCAATGAGCTCTTGCACATTTTCCCGTCAGAGTAATGACAGAAAACACTGGAGATTTTATTATTATTATTATTATTATTATTATTATTGTTGTTGTGGCTCACCTGATCATCAGACGAGCAGAAACCAAAATGCGCACGGAGAAAACAGGAAGAGCAGAATCTGAAAACTGGGGAAATAGTGCAGTGTTTGGGGAAGGTTTTTCAGATCGGCGTCCTTCATCAACAACCAATGTTCACACACAACGTGATCCTGCATTAAAAACTGAGAGATGGAGAAATGGGAATGAATGTATGGGGATGGAGATGTGTTTTGAATTATCAGCACTTTTGGCTTACCGTTAGCCTGCTTTTCTTCAATTGAGAATGTTTCTTATTCAGGCTGATGAACACTGAAGTGTGTGTATAACAATTCTATTCGATTGTTTAGGGTTAAGTTAACTCTAAGTTAACCCTAATAGTGTTTAATCCTATTGTACGCAAATGCTACTGGTATCAACTTAATATATATATATATATATATATATATACACACACACACACTGTAAAAAATTCTCAATTAGTCCTGACAACATTGGTTTTCAGCTCATTGTAACTTATTAAACTAAGCTAATTATGTTCTAACTTAATTTTATAAGTTACACAAGCTGTTTTAAGTCAGTTTAACATAATAAAAGTTTAATGGAGTGAAAGTTAATTTTATTTATCTGAAAATTTCTAAGGCAACCTGGTTTAAAAAAAAAAAAAAAAAAAAAAAATATATATAT